ATTAATTTCCCCAGTGATTGGGAATGTACATGGGCTGATGTCTGGCAAATGAAGTTCAATACAGATAAGACTAGGATAAGTAAGAATAGGAGCGACGTGGAAGAATAAAATAAAATCCTTGCATTTAATGAAAGCGCCTTATCACATTGTTGAGACATTTTAAAGCAATTCATAGGATTTACTGTAAAGTGTAGTGACTGTGTAAGTGTGGGCCAACGTAGCAACCAATTTGCGCACAGCACTGTCCCACAACCAGTTGTGGATTGAGTGACCAAATTGTTATAATTTTTTTGGAAGGGATTATTAACCCTGGAAAACGATCCACCAATTGACTAATAACCAGGTTCCTACCTGCTTGGTAAACAGAGGCATGTGGAGTAAGGAAAGTTGCTTGGAATTGAACCTGTGTCCTCTCGCTTGGGAAGTGAGTGCTCTAACCAATATGTTGCAGGACACCATTTTTTATAAGCAATTGGACCCAGTTGTGCCTCAGGACACTTGAACCAGTTATAGTGCCCTTCGTGCCATCTGCCAGAGATCAGTCGGTGACTATCCTGCTCTGTATGGTTGAGATACCACAGTGCAATTTCCTCCTGATGTGAAAGGCACTATAAAAGAGTAATTTGTTGTTGTTGCAATTTGATTTCAAGGCTATCCTATTAATGCACATTTTTTTATATAACAACATTGGATGAATGTATCTCAAAGTACTTCACATTGGTGATGGGGATCTGCAGTGGAGCTGGCAATGACCAGGAAGATCTCAGGTCTTGAAGCCACTTTGAACCCTGAAAATCCACACTCACTTGTTGGACACCTAGTATGACTTTCCTGGATGGTTCAATGGATCGCATGATACTCCAACCAGATAGCATTAGGAAATATATTTTATCCTTTAAATTAATAAAAAGAAACTCTTGTGCACACAAAAGGCAAAAGGTGATTTGCCAAGTTTGAAAAGCAATTGGAGAAAGACCTTCAAGCGCAGAGGATGCTGACGCCTGGAAAGGAAAGTGTGTCTCAGACAGTTTTAGTCTGATAACTTTGCAGACTGTCAGGTAAAACATTGTTGGAAGCTGAGTAAAACTTCCTCAACTCTGCCCAAGCAATACCGTTTTTGGGTCTTGTGCGCAAATTGGCTGCTGTGTTTGCCCACAAATACAGTTACCAACAACAGCAACAACTTGCACTATATAGCACCCTTCACACAAGGTAGCATCTCAGAGTGCTTAACAGTGGCAGATCCTGATTCCGAGCCGGCGTGGGTGGGTGGGGGGTGTGGACGTGGCCATAAGCATAGTTGAAGAGGAAGGTTTTCAGATGGGACTTGAAAAAGTGGAGAGGGACTGAGGGAGAGAGTTCCAGAATTTTGGGGCGTAATGGCTGAAAGCGCAATACTTTGCAATACTTCCTGTGAAGCATTCCAAGAAACTTCCCCTCATGAAGAGTGCTATATAAATGCAAGTTGTTGTTGCTGGCTCAACGATGTGATAAAGCGCTGCATCAAATGCAAGGCTTATTATGAAGTTCCACAATGTGCACCAGCCATCCTCAGGCCCTTCCGAGTTCTACTACCAGTTTAGTGCAGAATTGAATAAAGCTTTGCGTCCACAGAGGGTGGGTCAAAGTTAATTTCAAACAATTTCGTTTACAGTCATTCATGTGGGCTGGATTTAAACCCAGGACCTACAGGTCAAAGATGATTGACACTAAATTACCATATGAATCAGCTGGTAACCCTCACAATTTTGGCTCAAGAGATTTCAGAGTTGAAAGCCCACATTGGGGAATTTGAGCTCACAGTCCAGCCTACGTTGTATTGTTGGGGAGCGTTTCTTTGTCAGAGGTGCCATCCTTCAGATGAGAAAGTGGCTGAATGTTTGGTCCACCACAGGAACATGTGTACTTTAATCTTTCACTTTTTGTAGCATTGCCATTATGGAGATACAATTGTAACCTACAGTGGAAACCTCCATGGTTTCCAGCTCTTGCCGCATTTGCAACCTTCGCTTTCTCTTCAAGGTGCTGAAATGAGTTGTTGCCTCCCAGCTTTGTTCCTTCATCTCCTACCCCTTCCTCTGTGAATCCCTCCCATTCATCTGCAGGCATGGGATCCCTTCCACATTTACACGTTTTGCACCCAATGCTATCTCTCTGCCTCTATGCTTGATTCTAGGACCAATACCGTTCTGACCGATTGACCGTCAGACATCAATTTGAACTTTCCACGGCTCAGTGTCAACAAGCCTGGGACTCCCACCTCAGGTGTTGACTACATCAATTCATATGGATTATTTCTCAACCTTGCGTCGCCTGCTTTAGCCCCCAGATTGTAGCACTTTTGATGAGGGTTAGAAGCTTTCTTCCAACCAGACCCTCATCCACGACTTCATTGACTCCAGCCAGGCTCTATTACTGCAACTCCCTGCTTGCTGGATTCCCCATCTCCTCTCTTCAGAAATTGCAGACCATCCAGAACTCTACAAGCCATGTGAGGTGCGCTGCATTAATGTAATTTGCTGTTGACTGGTCAGCATGTTTAGGCAGACATTAAAGTCATTAAAACAATCCATAAGATAAAATTGGTCACTCACTCCATGGTTGTTTGTGGAAATTGGCCATTCCGTTCGCCAACAATGTACAGTCAGTCCATTCTACAGTAAATTCTGTGAAGTAGTTAGCGACATCTTCCCAATACAATAGAAAATACAAAATTACATTGTGCTTTGAAGGAGGCAAGGGAGGGAGCAAGGCAAAGGAGATGTGGGATGGAGTTCCAAAGGGTGGGGGCAGAGAGACTGAAAGCCTGACCGCTGATGGTGGGGTGAACCGGGTGGAGGATATGAAGGGGCTGGAGCCTGCTGAGCGGAGGGAGCAGATGGGTTGATATGGGGTTAGCAGGTCACAAAGGTAGGAAGAGGCAAGGCTGTGGAGAGCCTTGAAGGTGAGGATGAGGATTTTGAACTCTATCCTCCAGAGAATGGGGAGCCGCGATGGTGGGGTGATTGGATCACGGACCCTGGTGATTCTTGAGAGGACTCGGGGCACAAGCTGCAGAGTTCTGGATGTCTGCAGCTTGTGGAGGGAAGCGTTGGGAAGGCCGACAAGCAGGGAGTTGGCTTAGTTGAGCTAGATGTGATGAACACATGAATGAGGATTTCGGGGGCCTGAGGGTTGAGGCAGTGACACAGCCGGACAATGTTGTGGAGGTGCGGGAAGGCAGAGCAGGTCATGGCATGGATATGGGGTAGAAAGTGCAGTTGAGTGTCAAACAAGACGCCTTAGGTTCCAAACTGGCTCAGTGAGATGGGGAGTGCATCAATGGATGGTGATGCTGCCAGTGCCTGAGGTGTTAAGGTGCTCTATAAATGGAATCTTGTTGTTGTTGTTGTTGTAAGGCGCTGACGGGAGCCAATCAGGAGAGCTCGGTCTTTTTGACGTTCAACTGTAGAAAGTTAACAATCATCCATCAACAACAACAATGCGCATTTATATAGCGCCCCTCACGTAGGGTAACGTCCTGGAGAGCTTGACAGTGGCGAAGCAGACATACATTTTTTTTTGGTCAGCTGGGTGTCTGACACATGCGGAAACCGATTATCATGCTTAAGAGTCTCCAAACCAAGCTGAGAATTCCATACATCCCACCTACACATGAAAATGCCAGAGATAGATTTTTGGAATGGAATGTGCACTCTCCCCCTCGAGGGACACATCCTGCTAACCTAATTTTGGAATTTATTAGGCGCAGGTCGGCAAGAGCCAAAGCTTGGGGACCCCATAGTGTGCGTTGGGGTAACTGCTGGAGTCTAACCAGCTAAAACTGCATAGTTTGCCATTGATATTGCTGTCTGTCAAACTTCCTGCTGCTTGGACCTCACTACGCATTCGGGCTTTGGGTTGTAGCGTTAACAGGAGCTGAGCTGAGTGCAACAGTGGATTGGAGGGGGTAGTTTTGGGGGAAAAACAAGTGCAGAAGCCCTCGGACCCTCCCCTTCACCATTGGAGGTCGCGCTTTCAACCACTCTTCCTCAATCCTTTTGCCTTGCCCCCTCCCTCCCCTCTTTCAAGTCCTGCACGAGAACTTTTCTCTTCAACCGTGCTGACAGCCACCTCCCCCCACCCCTGGTTTGGAGTCAGGCTTTGCCACCGTTAAGAGTTCTGAGACACTACGCTGCGTGGAGGGCGCTATGTAAGTGCAAGTTGTTGTTGTAAAAAAAATTTGAAACTTGTTGAAATAGCAGCAGCTTCAAAAACAGACTGAAATCTCTTCATTATTCGAATGAGAACATCGCCCCCCCCCCCCCCCCATACATGGGGTGAGGCCATCCCTGTTCCCCAGCCGCCGGTTTAAGATGTGAGTGGAGACGATTTGAAGCTATTTAAACCCAATACAGAGAGGCTCAGTTTATTGCAGTGAAATTACACAAACCAGGTTCGTTTGGCAGATTCTTCCGACAACAAACAATATATATAAATGAATGTCGTTTGCTTGAACGCTCTGCGGGTGGAGCTGACGTGTGGAAGGCAGGAGCGCGGGTCCCAGGAAGGGGCAGAGAGTGAGAGGGGATGAACAGAGGCAGGAATTCAACGCTGTCTAATGTGAGCCCCAGAGAGAGAGAGACAGACAGAGACAGAGAGAGACAGACACAGAGAGAGAGAGACAGACACAGAGAGAGAGAGACAGACAGAGACAGAGAGAGACAGACACAGAGAGAGAGAGAGACAGACAGACACAGAGAGAGAGAGGACAGAGACAGAGACAGACAGACACAGAGAGAGAGAGACAGACAGACACAGAGAGAGAGAGAGACAGACAGACACAGAGAGAGAGAGACAGACAGAGACAGACAGACACAGAGAGAGAGAGACAGACAGAGACAGACAGACAGAAGAGAGAGAGAGACAGACAGACAGAAGAGAGAGAGAGAGAGAGACATACAGAGACAGACAGAAGACAGACAGAGAGAGAGAGAGACAGAGAGAGAGAGAGAAACCGAGAGAGAGAGAGAGAGAGAACAGACAGACAGAGAGGGGACCAGAAAGGCGACTCCTGAGTTGCGCTGCGGAAGGAGAGAGAGAGAGATCGAGGCGGCGAGTGGCTGCGGTGAGGGTCTCGGGGCTCAGGGCGACATCCGCAGCAGCACCGCTCACCTCCCACAGCGACCCGTGGCCACGGTGAGCGCTCACACTTTTATTTTGCATTCCCCCCCACTCTGCATTTTGACAAACTTGTCATACAACAGATGGTTTTTGGGGAGTGGAGGGGTGCGGGAGGGGAGGGAGGGGTGCGGGAAGGGAGGGGTGCGGGAAGGGAGGGGTGCGGGGGGGAGGGGGTGCGGGAGGGTGCGGGAGGGAGGGGTGCGGGGAGGGAGGGGTGCGGGAGGGGGTGCGGGAGGGGTGGGGGTGCGGGAGGGGAGGGGTGCGGGAGGGATGCGAGGGAGGGCGGGAGGGTGGGGTGCGGGAGGTGGGGTGCGGGAGGGAGGGGAGGGGTGCGGGAGGGAGGGGAGAGGTGCGGGAGGGGTGCGGGGAGGGGTGCGGGAGGGGTGGGGTGCGGGAGGGGGGGAGGGGTTGCGGGAGGGAGGGAGGGGTGCGGGAGGGGAGGGGTGGGGCGGGTTGTTGCAAAAAAAGAGAAATACTGTGAACGAATGTAATGCTATTAGGATGTGCGAGGGAGAGGGGAGGGGAGGGGAGGAGGGGAAGGAGAGGGAGAGGGGAGGGAGAGGGGAGAGGGGGAGGGAGAGGGAGAGGGGGAGGGGGAGGGAGGAGGGGGAGGGAGAGGGGAGGGGGAGGGAGTGGAGAGGCGGAGGGAGAGGGAGAGGGAGAGGGGGAGGGAGAGGGAGAGGGAGAGGAGAGGGAGAGGGAGAGGGAGATGGAGAGGGGGAGGGAGAGGGAGGGGGAGGGAGAGGGGGAGGGAGAGGGGGAGGGAGAGGGGGAGGGGGAGGGGGAGGGAGAGGGGCTCCGTAGCTTCAGGCGGATCGGGAGTCGGCGGTCCTTTAACGTGTGGCTGAATCTCCAGTAAAGGTCCATCCGAGGAGACGCTCGTGGAAATTGAAGAGAAATGAAGAGCCGCTGCTTCCTCCCACAGTTGGGTGTGGATCCGCAGCGGCTGTCTGTCTGGGTACCACCCCCCACCCCCCACCCCCCACCCGCGGGGTCTCTGGCAGTTATTTCCTTCCAGCATTGCAAACCCCGCACACTGGGGTTAGGGTGTGTGCATATCAGTGTGTACATATTGCACGTTTTTCTTTTTCATTCCCCCTCCACTCGCTGCCCCCACAGGGCAACTAAAGGGCGTTTGACTCATCGCGCTCAGCATCTTCATTAACCCCGTGTAGGGTCTGATGACATTCCCGCACACCCTGAGCCAAGTACTTGGTCGTTGAAGGTGCTCAACATCCAGCAGCAGCACCGAAAGCTTTCGAAGACATTATTATTGGTGGAATCCCATAGTGTATGGTTGAGAGCACAAGTTTGGAGGGCTATGGGGAGACCGCGGGGGAGTGGGATTGATTTGCATAGCTCTTTTCAGAGAGCCGCCGCAGACACGATGGAGCGAATGGTCTCCTTCTGTGCTGCATAATTGTATGATTCTATGAGCGTACCAAAATGACAGTTTCGGTATCTGTTAACCGTGAGAGGCGAGAGAATTGTTTTGCCTCCCCACCTGTCCATTTCACAACAAAAAAAAATTACATTTATATAGCGCCTTTCTCGTCGGATAGACATCCTAAGGAGCAAGGCAGTCATGGATTTGCACCCAGCTGGGGCTCAAACCAAGCTGGTTAGAGTGCAGGGGTTTGGGGGTGGGAGGGTGGCCGAAGGTGCGGTCAAAGAGGAAGGTCTTGAGATGGCCCTTGAAGGAGGCGAGGGAGGCATGAGGCAGAGAGATTTGAGATGGAGTTCTAGAGGATGTGGCTACTTAATTTAAAAATATATAATATCATTTTAAAATGTAAAATGTTCTTACTCCGCAAGCCTCTGTTTACTTAGCAGTAAGTAGGAACCCAGTTGTTAGTCAATTGGCGGATCTCTTTGCAGGGGTAATAATTCCTCAAAAATTTCAATCCACGACTGTTTGTGTTACACTGCTGTGTGCGATTGGCAGCCATATTTCGAACACAAATTACAGAATCAATGAACTTTACAATATATTCTGCGAAGCGCTTTGAGACGTCTCAACGATGTGATAAGGTGCTATATCAAATGTAAGGATTATTGTTATTATAATTGCTTCAAAAAGGAAAGAGATTGTTTTTTGTTTGGGAGCTGTATTGCGTAATAAGTGTTCCCAAGATTCTACACTGTGTAAAGTGTGCTATATAAATACAATAATAATCCTTGCATTTGATATAGTGCCTTGTCACGTCTTTGAGATGTCACAAAGCACTTCACAAAATATACTATAAAGTGAATTGACTGGATATTTTGTAGGCGAAACAGATTGAATGTGAGGAAGGAAGGAGAGCTGAGGATCACACTGAATTGTTATGGAATGTTATAGATGCTATAGAATTCCATAGCACACATCTTCTCCTGCACCAGCCTCCGCAAACCCATTGCTCTCCTTATCGTCTTCCTGTGGTCAACAATCACGCACTTGCTTTATGACCAGAGCAATCCTCTAATGGTTACTCCTCTTGCCTTTGCTTGGTCACCTGCAGAGAAACCCAGGTGTCTATCCTTTTCCTCATCTACATATTTCCTCTTGCTAAACTAATCCACAGTTAACTTCCACATGTATGTAGATGACACCGAAACTTACTTTTCCATTTCAACTCTTGACTCCAGTTTCCCTGATGTTTTATCAGACATGAAGGTCTGACAGCTACAATTTCTTGCAGCTCAACATGGATAAGATCTAAGCCATCCTCATCAGCTTCTGACAACATCTCCTCATTTTCGGCTCTGACCTCCTAAGCTTCCCCAGCCTCTCTCTCAAACTCACCTAACCAGTCCCAAAGCACAACCTTGGCATTCGGTTAAATCCTCAGCTCTACTTCTTTCCTTACATTCGTCCCTGACCAAGACTGCTTTTCTTCACATCGACTACATAAGCCCCAGCTAAAACTCCGCCACCCTTCATCCTTACTCCCACCAAACTCCATATGCCCATCACTCCAGTCCTACTAGATGCCACTGCTTCCTTGTCTCCCAACGGATCAACTTCAAGGTCCTCATTGTCACCTATCATCCCATCACACCACAGCACTCTGTGATCTCCAACCCCTCTTTCAGAGGCCTCTGCTTGGCACATTTAGACTTATTGCGCATCCCCTATTCTCTTTGCACCACCATTGCAGGCCAAACCTTTATATTCTGTAGTCCCAATCACTTGAACTCCTTTTCTCTCCCCCTCCATTTCAACTCCTCTGTCTGTCTTTAAATAATAATAATAATCCTTGCATTTGATTTAGCGCTTTTCACGTCTTCTAGACGTCTCAAAGCGCTTCACAGAATAGACTGTAAAGTGAATTGACTGTATATTTGGGCGAAACGCGGCAGCCAATTGCACACAGCAGTGTACCACAAACAGTCATGGATTGAAATGACCAATTTATTATTGTTTTTTTGAGGGATTATTACCAGGCGTCTGGAGTAAGGAAACTTGTCCAAGGTTTCACCCTGTCTGGAATCGAACCCTGGTCTCTCACTTGCAAAGTGAGTGCTCTAACCATTGAGCTATAGAACTCGCAAAACTGGTTAGCATGCTTAATAATAATAATAATAATAATAATGATCCTTGCATTTGATATAGCACTTTTCACGTCGGGAGGACGTCCCAAAGCGCTTCACAGAATATACTGTCAAGTGAACTGACTGTATATTTGTAAAGTGAATTGACTGTATATTTGTGGGTGAACGCAGTAGCCAATTGCGCACAGCAATGTCCCACAAACAGTCGTAGATTGAAAATGACAAATTTAATTATTGTTTTTGTTTTTTGGAGGGATTACTATTAGGTGTGTGGAGTAAGGAAACTTGCCCAAGGTTTCGCCCTGCCTGGAATTGAACTCAGGTCTCTCCCTTGCAAAGCGAGTGCTCTAACCACTGAGTTACAGGACTCCACTTCTCGCTTGTATCACCCAGGTTTGATTGTCAGGCAGGGTGAAACCTTAGGAAAATTTCCTAACTCCACACGCCTCTGTTTATCTAGCAGTAAGTAGGAACCCAGTTGTTAGTCGATTTGCAGATCGCTTTCCGGGGTAATAATCCCTCCCCCCAAAAATGTGGTCACTCAGTCCACAACTGTTTGTGGGACACTGCTGTGTGCAATTGGCTGCCACATTTTGCCCTCAAAATAGACAGTCCATTATTTACAGTATATTCTGTGAAGTGCTCTGAGTCATCTCAATAACGTGATAAGGCGCTACATCAAATGCAAGGATTATTATTATTATTTTTATTATTTTCTTACAAGCTATGTAATTGCAAGTTGATGTTTATAGTAACTGCTGTATGTAACAGGATTCCCATCTAATCTGATGTATTTTGTTTTTTTGTTGGATGTTTAAAAATTGGTAAGGATCAAACAAAGGATCAAATCAAATTAAGGGAGTGCATCATTCAGGGTCAATATTGTGCCATGCACTGAAATTAAAAAGGCCACAACACTTGTGTGTTCTGCAAACCCCTTCACAGTGAACAGGATGCAGCAGGAGAGACAATGTCACAATGTCTTTGAGTCTCACACCACAAAATATACTATTTTATCACTGCTTGATTTTATTTTCTCACATATTGATACAGGTTGGTTTGCAACAAAGAGACTTGGATTTGCTGTGGTGGAATTGTTTCTGTTTCAGGAACTCAGAGTGTGTGAAAGCTTTTTAATACAACATCCCTTTAAGATATCTTCCCAGTCTATGTTTGGATGGTGTCTGGTCAGTTGCTCTATGACTAACACATCCTGCCCGTTTGGCATATCGCTGAATCACTTAAGTTTAGGAAATAAGATGTAATCGTTATTCATTCTTTTCTGCCTAAATCATTTCAACAACTAAATTCTTTCCACTGTTTGGGAGAGCCCCGGTCACCTTTCTAGTTGCCCCGAAAAACGGCTTCACTCAGATGCATTCCTTTTAAGTGAGGAATTGAATGTGCGAGGAATCGCTGCATTTTAAAAGTCTGTACGGCAGTATAGAGGAATTGTAATAATTTAACCGTCTCCTGTAGTA